AAGAATTTAGAAACGCTATTTTATATTCATATGGACAACTGAAAAATTATGTCAATTAATTGTTTGAAGAGAATATTTTCACGTGTAGAAATATTGTTTTGTAGTCTAGGGTTAACGGATTCAACCGTTTTCTTTTGATTTCTGGATATATTTGTCGTGTACTTTGGCTTGGGAGAGTAGCGATTCGGTTAGGAAAGGTGATATTGGGAAAAACCTGGGCGTAGATTAATATTTGGATAATATTCAATGGTGGCATTCTCAAGGATTTTCCTTCTGAACGAATTATTTTCTTTTTTACGAGTGTAGTATTTATAAAATCAAAATTGTGGTTGAATTTATTTCTATATATGACTAGTGCATTTGTTAAATTGTTATTTATGAGGTCTCTTTTGTGCTCATAGATGCGTTTTTTTTAATTTCTGCATGTTTCTTTTGTGTATTGTGAGAAAAGGTTTTGGCAATTTATTTTATATATGCCATCTTCAGAAATATTATTGCTATGGGTGTTTGAGGATCTGATTATATCCATAATGGTTTTGGAAGTCGGACAACGTTTGCTTTTCATGCATTCATCAACGTCTACAAATTGTATTGAATCACTATCCACTTAACCGTCAAGATCGAGGCCGGTGCAAGGATACCGTGCCCTCCAAAATCTATGATATGCCCCCACCTCGTCCATCTCAATTTTAATAAGGCAGTATTTATATAAAATGCAAATTTTATCGTAACCTAATTATGTGCAATAATGGATCATATGCAATATAGGTGAACAATTCAACTAGTAAAATTGAAAATAAACACAATGTATCTTAATACAAATTCGAGACCTGTCATAATTGATCATTCCGTCTTAGATAAATCAAAAATACTTTGTGCCAATTTTTAACATCAATTTGAGATTTTTCCTCATAAATGCTGAATAATTTTAACACATTCAACATTATGGATAAAATAGTGAATTTTATATAGTGTTCTTTTCGCGACTTAGCATGAGCAAAAACTCATGGTTTTCGAGATTTAGCATGACAAATTCACAGATTTGGACAAAAAAAAAACTCAGAATGATGTCAAAATCTGTGAAAATTATTCATCCTTTAATAGTCAGTCGTGCTTAGTTTAATTTGTAATGTATATAAATATAGGTAGTCAAAAGGAAATGTTGCTACGATAGCGAAGGTTATAAAGCAATACCATGGGCCTCAAATCGGGCTTGTTACCCGGTCGGAGGTTCGGGCATAATAAGCACCGGTCCTGTTCAAGATAAAGAAATTTCTGAAAGATAATTCATGCCTTTGATAATGGCATTAGGACCAAGTGAACATTAAAACTCTCAAAATTTGAACTTGGTACGGCGGTTTCATTTCTTGTATTAATAATCGTTATGTCAACATGCAATATAAAAAAATAGAAAAATAGAAAACAATGAAGATTTGCAAAATGGCAAAACCGACCTGGGGTGATGGATGTCTGTCTTTCTCTCTATATATATATATCCTGGTGGTCGTAAAACAGTATTCGGTGTAAAATAACAGAGTTAAAATTTATACTATTAATATATATAGTCATCCACAGAGAAACTGTTTCGCTGTATCACAGCTCATCAGTGTGGCTAGACATCCGATTGCTTCAAGCCAGAATCGAAACTCGACCGATTCGGCATCAGTCAGAGATTCTACCCCCCCTATCGTCGCACGCAGAGAATAAGGGAAATTTGAACGTTTTTCCTGTACGAAAGACGTATATATACCTGAAAATTATCATGTGCATGTAACTCAGAATTGAACCAAACGGTGAGGAACAAAATATATAATATATATATATATATATATATATATATATATATATATAGATATAGATATAGATAGATAGATAGATAATATTAGTAGTAAATATACACATACATATGCAATCATATATCGAAAATATATAAATATATATACATACATACATACATATACATATATATATATATATATATATATATATATATATATATATATATATATATGTATAAAAAATAATTCCAAGAGGATAGAATCCAGGTAAACTTCAATGTCCAGGACAGAGTAAGGATATAATAAAAAGGCTTAAACACTAATATTCCATGGTCATAATTTATTCCATTGGAATCGTAAATACGATCCAATTCATCAGACCTACAAATTCAAAAAGAAAACAAAAAATCAACTCCGGGAATAAAAAATAAAATTTAGTGAGTTTGCATGTATGAGAGTGTGGGACGAATGTTAAAGTAAATGAAAGCTATAGGGAGGGGTAACAGACGAGAGAAGAGCAGGAAAGTCTCTTTATATATATATATATATATACCCTTTTAATCCGCACTTCAGACTTTACTTTTTGAATACAGAGAAAACGCCAGAGAACATATACTCTTTATTAAGTCTCTCGAAAAACGCAGACCGGTAAATGTAATTAACACTACAAAAACAAAAAAGAACAGGATGTCTATTCAAACATAGGTATCCACAAAATGTTTCTGTAGTAGGAAATAATGTCGGATAAAAATCCACTGATTTATATATATATATATATATATATATATATATATATATAGTCACATCTATCTATGTATTATATGCTTAGCTTACTACGGTATGAGGTAAATGCGTTTTTATAGACGTATTTATCTTCTGATAGAATTGATTCGTTTTTTAGGACTTTTATAGGTTTTTTAACGCCGGAAAATATTTTTAGATTGAAAGAATTTTTGGTAGATAATCATTTTTAAAGATCCTTGTTCTACCAATTAACCCATAGTATTTGAAATTGGCTCTACGATTTCCAATTCCAAGCCGTTATTCATTACATCACCCGCACATACAACATTACAGCATCTGGTATTCCCAACGGTCACCCATCTAGTTACTAACCAGGCTCGACGTTGCTTAACTTAGATGATCGTGCGAGAACCCGTGTTTCAACGTGATAAGCAATAGTGGTTCTAGAGAAAGATGCTGAGGATACCATGGACCAAACATGTGAACACGCCGAGGTTTTGGAGAGAATGGAAACAAAAAGGAAACTTATACTTAACATCAGGAAGAAACAGTTGAAATTTCTGGAGCACGTAATGAGGTAGGAGGGCTTGAAAAATCTGATACTCACGGGGCAAATTGAAGGAAAAAGGGACAAACGAATGCAGTTCGTAACATACTTGATGAGCTTGAGTAAATGGATGGTAGAACAGGGTTTTTGAGAAATAACAAAAGGCAAAATTATTAAGAGTTACAAGGAACAAGAAGGTGTGGAGGGCCCTGATCGCCTACGTCCTGAAAAGACAAAGCACATAAAAGAAGTAGATAGCTGTATACAAGTAGAGTGAGATAACGAATTGGATAGGTGGCGAAGTTTAGGGTGAAAATATTTTAATACAATGGAAAATTGAAACTTGGCTCACTTCCAATGTTTTCTGACTACTGACCATATTATGTCATGGCTACGTACTTGTCTATTGTTTACGGTGTGTTGTGTTTGGAGCAGATAATACTTGTCCTTCTTTAAAAAAAAAACACACAAAAGAAAAAAAAAAGAAAACAAACCTTGTCTTGACAATAGATCCGACATAAAACACCTTCAAATCAAGGTCAATTTTATGTGTTTAAAAAGAAATCAGTTATGTCATAAGCAATCAATGTAAAGGCTTGAGATCCGGATTTTTTTGTGTGACGTCATATAGACGAGATATCTCGTCAGACGCTTCAACACAATCATTACTTTCCACGCCTTCATCACCATCTATGAATTGTCCTGAATCACTGTTCAATTCAATGACAACAAAATAAGCCCCCAAGTTAAAAGATTTTATCAAATAAATACCCAGTCAACTACTCTAAGTATTACTTTCCATACCTTTATCAAAATGTACGAATTGTCTTGATTGGTTTATTCGTTGTTTACGGTTTATCAACCCATTGCAGATTATTTAAAGCCAAAAAATATTTTTAGATTGTAAGACTTATTTTATTAAGAGATAATAATGAGTTAGTGATACAAGTCTTACTAATTAACCCATATCTGGAGAGAGAAGGAGGGATTCATACCTTTCCCAAATGTATTTGCGCGTAAGGGATTATAACGAAGTCAACTGGAGTTGGAAATCGGCATTCCGATTAACAAATGTAAGACATTAAGACACCATCCGCACATCCAAGCTTACACTTATAAACATTACCAATGTTTACACAAATATAAACCTAACCAATGTTTACACAAGTATAAACCTAACCAATGTTTACAAAAGTATAAACTTAATCCATGTTTACACAAGTATAAACCTAACCAATGTTTACACAAGTATAAACCTAACCAATGTTTACACAAGTATAAACCTAACCAATGTTAACACAAGTATAAACCTAACCAATGTTAACACAAGTATAAACCTAACCAATGTTTACACAAGTATAAACCTAACCCATGTTTACACAGGTATAAACCTAACCCATGTTTACACAAGTATAAACCTTTTAATTTTTATTATTAATTAAAAAATCTTTTTTTTTCTAGGATTAGATGATAATGCTTTTAATTCAATGACTGACCAAAATGAAGACATGAAGCATCAACTTGTAACCTCCACACTTTACCATGTTGTCAAACATTTTTTTCTACGACCAACCCCCAAACAGAAGCATACCAAAAAGGTGTCGTAAATACTCCAGTAGTCACGTACCATCACTTTCCGGTGTCAAGGTTTCACCCTCTGCACCACTCACAAACCGGGATGACAACAAGACAGACGTAATTGATGGCTTAGGCAAAAAGAGCCTGATGCCAGAAATCTTCTTAGCTTATCATTCGGTAAGAAACCATCTCGACTCGACGCTAACTAACGACGAAGACTCCCAACGTCATTTATTTGAACATACGAAAGCTTCTGCCTCGGACACTCTGCAGCGATTGTCGCTTTACCTTTATGAGCTACCCGACAAAAAACGGATAATACCTAAAAGTTTGGAATACCAATTACTGTGTGGCTATGAAGACTTCACCCGTGATGTTGTCAGGGTGCCGAGGGAATGGCAGACAGCTGCTATGAGAGAACATGCTCGAATCGCAAGAAAAAAGAGTGATGTGCATACATCGAATGCCCCTGGCATTGTCGAAGCAGGGGAACAGAGAAAGAAGACAGACCTTTCCAGCAACAACTCATCACAAAACCACAGTTCTTTGGAAATCTTACAAAAGGGACGGAAACGAAACCCCAGCTCTTTGGCAACGGAAGTTGAAGAAGATGTTAGAAATCTTTTGACTCCCCAAAAAGCCAGAGATAAAGATCGATTGACGCCTAAGTCTTTAGGTAAGTTTCTTTGCATATTGGATTACTCTCCAGCAGGTAATCCCATTCCTCACCGAAGTACAAGGGTTTACATTTTTCTAGCATGAAAGAAACAAAAGCTCTACTCGTTATAATTGATCGATTTTTTTTATAATAGTGAATAATTTTTACGGCTTATCAATCCTTTGTGGGTTATTTAAAGCCGAAGCATATTTTGTATTGTAAGAATAATACTTTCTGTGTGAGTAAATATGTTTTTCGAATAACAATGATTTTCCCTGATACAAGTCCTACTATTTAACCCATATCTAGGGAGAGGAGATGGATTCCTACCTTTCCCAACAAACCAGACTGGAATTCGAACACGGCTCTCCGATTTCTCATTCCGAGCCGCTATCTATTACACCCTTGCACATCCGCTTAACATGTCGAAAGAAAAGCGTTCTCCACATTTTTTCACTCTTTCTCTTATATATTCTGTGGAGAAGGCGTAATAGTTATCAAGATTGAAAATGGAATTGGAATGCCGAGTTCGAATTTTAACTGAATCAGATATTTTTATTTCAGACTAGTTCTTTTGGAAAAGGGATAAATCCATTTCTTTCTAGTGAGGTAGTAACGTAATTTCTACTTAGAAAATTGGCACAGCACAATCTTTCTTCTCTGCATTTTTCTTGGTGTCTTATTATACTAATCTTAGGAAATATTCTAACAGACATGCACTTTAACTCTGTCTGTCAATTTCTTGTCTGACGGCACACATTCACATGGACTTGGTATAAGTTAACGCACGTAAAATGAAATCAGCAATCTGAGTTCGAATCATTTCTAAAGTTTTTTCTGTTTTTTTCGCATTAATACACCCCACCTCTGGACTTTTTTTTATCTCTCTACTGAAAAAAAAATAACTGCATTCCATGATATTTAAGGGGTCAAAGGTGTTGAGCACTTAGGTTGTATCATTCTCTGATAACTTCCCTAGTACCGAGGAAGTAACATCAGCAAAAAGCTGCCACATCCATTTTCAACCTTGACAAGGATCAGTAAGTATATCATATACGATAAAGTCATAGAGAAGACAACATATCCTTTCCTGTGCACCCCTTCTGACAAATTCGGTGGGACTGGGAGAGGTTGCTACGCAAGCTGAAAACATCGAGAACACAATCCTGGGTAACAATAATGCTTTAAAAACCAGAGATGTCTACTCAAACAGGCATATTCCACAAATATAACGTATACAGCAATAAGTAATTTTTATTTATGTTTTATAAGAGACTTTCATTTTACCCAACACATTAACAACTGGACTATTCCAAGTTGCCAGTATTATCCTATTATAATTGTGCTTGTCCCTCTCTTCGAAAGTTTACACGGCCGTTACGCCCTGCCAATACCTCATAAATAATAGACTATTCCGTTTTGATGGGGGTGAAAAGGGGTGAAACACTACTTGGTTTCAGTGAGAAAATAAAAGAAAGAAGGGAAAATAGAAGTGGGGAGAGGGAGAATCAAATTAAGTTGATAAGAACAGACAGTGCACTTTGATCTTAGCAGCTAAAAGGTTGAGAAGTAATTGTATTTTCTTGCCGCCCCACGCAGATAAATGCCGCGGGTAGCTGTTTCCCGGGGCCGGGCACCTCTCAGTAATATTTTCAGTTGCGCTCTGTATCGAAGACAGAGACACAATTGAGACATGAGATGCAGTTTATTCGTACGAGGGCAGATACGACACTTTGATTCCAGCCAAAAGGCCGAGAAGCGATAATATTTACTGATCCCCCGACACACACACTGGGTTTAGGATGCGACACAAGGTCAGTTGTTTAACGTAGCGAACCCGAATATTTCTGCTCGGGCCAATGGTCAAAATTTACCCAGCCCCCGCTTACGTGGGTTCGGGCACAAAACTGGTCTTAGTTGGTCATTGCATCTCAGGCCAAAAGGCAGAGTTGCAATAGCGACCGTGATAAAAATTTTCAGACGCACATTGTTGAACGACGGAAACCGAGTAAGGCAATGACCAAAAATCCGGTTAACATCGTCTGTCGAATTATTTTACAATTATTATTAAGAGAAATTTTCGTAACACGGGGATTTGGCTAGAAATTAAGAAGGGGAGATAGAAGTGTTTAAATAATGGACTATTCCGTTTTTATTGCGTATAAAAACAAGACACTACATAGTTTCAGTGAGAAAAAGAGAGAAAGAAAGAAAACAACTGAGATAGATAGATAGATAGATAGATAGATAGATAGATAGATAGATAGATAGATAGATAGATAGATAGATAGATCTAAAAGGACTGACATAGATAGATAGATAGATAGATAGATAGATAGATAGATCTAAAAGGATGATAGAATAGATAGATAGATGATAGATAGATAGATAGATAGATAGATAGATAGATAGATAGATAGATGGAAACAACCTAAGAACTAAAGAGACTGAGATAGATAGACATAGAAACAGTCTAAGAAAGAAAGAAAGAAAAAGAAAGAAAAAGAAAGAAACTGAGATAGATAGATAGATAGATAGATATAGAAACAGCCTAAGAAAGAAAGAAAGAAAGAAGAAAAAGAAAGAAAGAAAGGTGTTTAAAATCTGTTTCAGTGAAACGAAAAAAAATTGCCAATTTCAAATCTTTACAGTTATAACTACTTAAAATAACAACTAGCATTCATATTTTTGATTGTTATTCCAATACTTTGTTAGAGCTGTAAAGTTCAAATATTTAACGATATGATAAGGGAATTTCTACGGATATTTTATTGTCATAGAACTTGTCATGAGCTTACTCAGTCATTAACTTAAGAATTAAGATTCATCAAAAAAATTCAAATAGGGTCTTTCTAGTTTTAATTAATAGAAAATGCTTAAGGTAAACTTTGATTGACATAAAGGATGGATAAGTGTTTATGCAAATTTATCTTTATTTATTTATACGATTGAAAAGCTTATCTCCTCATCTATTCCTGTGGGTAGGGGAGTAAATTAATTCAACCCTTCCACAACCCTCAAGTTGATCTTCCAAACGTGTTAGAAGTTAAATATAGGTACCTACAGAGATTCGCTAAAAATGAGTAGATATGTTTAAAAAATGATCAGTACTTAGTAAAAACAAAGTTCTATGGTCAAAGTTCTTTGTAATTATTAAGAGGAAAGATCACGAGAAAGATCATTTTTTAGAATTTTAGAAATTATGGTTAAAAATCTTGTTTATATATATATTAGTTGATAACACAGCAATACTCACACATACAAATAGTAAAAAGAACCTTCAGATATAGCAACTCAGACTCAACAAAACAACATTTGAAACTAGTCGATTTTGATAACCTCATTCAGTTTTTATGTTTGTGTCGTATGTGACACTTCAGTCCCGCTAGTGACCTGCATACAAGTCCACATATCGTGTAAGGGTCTCCGGACATAGCAACATTAGCTGACGCTTTTCCCCGTTGTCTTTCGTCTCTTAGCCGGTCAATACGACTGATTTCAAAATTTCTGATATCACTCTGGCAAAAATATCTCCAGTTATTTCTATATTTATTTTAACTTATCTTTACACTTGAGCCATGGCCGTCCAACACTCCTTTGTCTACTATTAAGTTGGCTATACATATACTTAGGTATTCCGTCGTCACTCATTCTTGCAACATGACCAGCCCAGCGAAGTTTGACTGCATCCGGAAAGTTTCAATTCCACCAATGTTGGCTTTTGCGAAAAGATCAGCATTGGACACCCTATCCTCATAGGTATAACCACAGATCGCTCGGAGCCAACTTTTATAGAAGACATGCAGCTAATTGATATGGGACCTACCGACGATTCTGAGCCATACAACAGTATGCTCAAAACGACTGTTCTATAAACCCGTACTTTGGTATCCAATTTGACATAGGTCAAATGTTTCATTCCATAGGTGGTGGCGAAACTTCTCAGATGTACTTGTAGCTTTGGTTAACCGATTTATTATTTCGTCATCAAGGAATGTATTTATGTGTAAATCACTATAAATAAAACTGAGAATATATATATATATATATATATATATATATATATATATATATATATATATATACATGCACACACACACACAAATGAGCGACGTTAAAAAGATTTGATTTTATTTACGAAGAAAGATACTTTTCGCACGAGACAGAAAATCTGTAAGAAAAAGCGAGATATGAGATTCTGTCAAAACTGATTAATGTCATGGTAAGGGAATGACGCGCCAAGGGAAACAGAATTCAGGAAGAAAAACAAAGCCGGCCGGCACATGGCGGTCAGAAAAAAAATTTCGGCTTGAGACGACCGCGATACAGGCAGAGACAATCATTAGTTATCTTTCAGGGATATCGTTTAATTTTGATTCCTGGGTCCAACGAAGGGAAATCATCTGGTATGTGTTAGAATTTTGGCATGAGGGAGAAAATCGTGGAGGAAATTATTATTATTACCTTTTCAAACTACTTGACGTCAGACACAGCGTCGTCGAAAATGGGCATCTGCTGATAAGAGGATTTCAAGGCATGAGAAAAATAAAGAATTTGATTCTCAGGTAAACACGGACACCCAGTTAAAAGTTGACTTAGCAGAGAAGCCAAATGTCGGGTTTTGACAGTGATTGATGTCGGTAGAGAGACATGACTAAGTGAATTTTGGGTGTCCCCAAAAGAAAGATGTGATAAGAATTATTTGGCAATCTGTGGTTTGTGAAAAAAATGTTTTGGCCGATGGAAAAAAGAAAGAAAAAGGATTTTGTAAACAAAATTCTGGATAATAATTTTAAGATGGCCAGTCTAGCCACACCCACACTGCCGAGAGATCATTGGTCAAGTGGTAGCATGGGTTATAGGCGGAGAGGAATATATGAGAAAGGCTGAGAAGTTGTTAACACCCACTGAGGGGATTGGTATAAGATACCAATGTGAGAGAGGAAGAGTCTAGGAGGATAACTTTCCTCCGACCTTGCCTCACGGACGAGGGAGAAACCCCCGAAATGGAAAGTGATTAATCTTCCAAAAATGGGAAGTAATTAATTTTCCTGGCCTAAGAACAAAAATAATTCTTTTTGGGAATCGAGAATTGTCGAGGAACCTAAACCACGTCAGGCCCCACACCGGGTATTGGTCGGTATCCATATAAACGAACGTGTCCAGGCAGTTGGAGTTGGAGTTGGAGTTCAGTTCCGGACAAAGTCAGAGTGTTGCCTTGCAGAAGCTGACCGAGAGATTCCACGTCCTTTCGACTTCGCCTTCCTACCAAAAGCAAGTTATATTGACGAACGACTTAAGATACCAAAACTCGCTTAAGAAACGCAAAAGTGTCACAAATCCATAGAAACGGGCTGGGAGAGAAACACACTCCTGTATTCAACAGGCGGGTAAAGATAATTTGTTATTTCTCAACATATTTGAACCACTTGAATTTTGTTTTATTGCTTCTTTTACTTTTACTTACGCTTGTGCGATATCACCTTCACCCCGGATTCAGCTTGCATTACGGCGAGACGCCTGATTGATTTCGTCTACCTAAGATCAAAGTCACAAAGTGGGTAGGTTAGACTTGAGATCAAAGTAGTTAATTAATTTTCCTGGCCTAAGAACAATTATAGCTGTTATTGCTCTTTCCAGTATTGATAGATATTGGAAGTGAGCTGGGAACGACAAAGCTGGTATCGAACCGGGAACGACTAGGACACAGGCTCGTGGCAGCGACAAGGAGTCAACCCCAAACGCTGGTGGAAGAAACGTTACAGCTTCGCACCGCAACTGGGAGTTGACCACGGGCCGACAGCGCAGTGTCACATATTAGCGTCGCGACCAGAGGACGTCACATATTGGCGCTGAGACCACCAGAGGGTGTCATATATATATATATATATATATATATATATATATATATATATATATATATATATATATGTGTAAACATATATATATGTAAACAAAAGGAAACTTAGCCGACGTGTTTTGTCCTCTGATGGATTTTATTTTGCAACAAGTATTTATAAACAAAAGTAAAAATATTGTTAATTTTTCAAAATTTTTACATTTTAGAAACATTCATAAATATTCATCAAGTTAACTGAAAAGTCTAGGTAAATTATAGAGGATACTAAGTGACGTAATTTAATGTCTAATAAACGAAAGTGATTAAATGATGCCGATTTTTTTAAATATTTTACCCAAAATAAACTTCTATACTATACTCAAAATAACTTCTTACTTACGGAAGGATCCCAAGAGTTGGAAAATGTCAGCGAGATACGGGGAATATTAACTAATTTAATAAATGAACGAGTTAATCAATCTATTCAAATATATACAGGGCGTACCAGGTAATTGAGAATATACATATATTAATGCTAATATTAGTTGTTTCTTTATAAGGAAACATTCAGAATTCATTGACCGGGTAGTCAGTTCTGCTGTCGGCTGATATTTATAAAATCTTTCTACTGAGACAATTTTTCAGGAAAACAGGTTTCTCAAGTCAGTGTAGGTGTTATTGCTCTTTCCAGTATTGATAGGGGTTTCCTTCTTAAACTTTTACACAACTTAAAAAAGTTTAAAAGGAAACTATTTTTCTGGAAAACAATTATTATATATCATACAACGGAAAAAGATATTTCGGCTCTAAATAACCCTCAAAAGGATTGAGTAACCGTAAAAAAAAAAAAAAAAAAATCAATCGTAGATCGCCGTGGTCATATGCAGAATTGTTCAGAGAATTTAAAGGACAGTGGAGGCTTCTTATCCGTTCACAAACCGAATTTAATAATCAGTCTGTAAAATACGAAACTTTTAAGTTAGTTAAGCGTTTTAATTTTAAAATTGCAGGCATCAGAAAGTGATAAGAAGCGAGATGTTAGACGATTTCTGTTATTTTTTATCTGTTCAGATAAGATAAAAAAAGACAAAATAGAGACCTACTTCCTCAGCAGATTGACTTTGTCAAGTAGATCTTGTATGAATCACCAGGTGCGCCAGACGGTGTAGAGGGTAAGTGTTGTGCGGGAAGAGCTTTCGCCAAACGATGGGTGCGGGGGTGGGGGTGAAAAATATTTTAGGCCTGGCTGAGTAGGGGTAGGGCGGAGTTGAGCTGTTTAATTCGAATTGCATCGGAGAAAAAGAAGCATCAGACTCGATTGAAATTAGTGCTTCATATGGTGGATCTTAACTAGTTTTATCCGCATTCACAGCTGCTAATTGATTAATGGTCGATTCCTGTCATGTCTCTCTTGATTTGTCTCAAGCTTCTTTTCTTTCTTTAATCGCAGTCTGTTTACATCTATCTATCTATCTATCTATCTATCTATCTATCTATCTATCTATCTATCTGATCTCTGTTCATTATCTATCTATCTATCTGATCTCTGTTCATTATCTATCTATCGCCATTTTGAATCGAGTAGTTCGATAGGCGTGATTTTCCCAGCGTCTCACCAAAATTTTTAAAACATACCTACTTACTTACTTGCTTATCATATCACTAGACGATATCATGTCATCCTATAAGTAATATCTTAAATCTGATAGCCCCGAGTGTCTTACGGCCATATCATGTTGAAACACCGGCTTCCATACAATCACCGAAGTTAAGCAACGTCGAGCCTAGATTGGTGATCGCTTTGAAATACCAGGTGCTCTAAGTTTGGGTGTACGGGTGCTGTAAGCTTGGGTATGGATAATAGAGACAAAAGAAAGCAACAATGACTAAACCCAGCGAGCTATTTTTTGGTGGATGGCGGATCGGAGATTAGGACCTCTCTTAAAAAGACAGAATTAATTAAGCGTTACAAAGGACAGGGAATTGTGGAGAGTCATGATCGACAAAAGCCTGAAGGGACACGGCACATAGAAGAGATGAAAAAGAGGAAAGAAGAAAGATTTCATGGGGAGCCATAACGGCCAAAGACCTGAAGAGACACGGCATATAGAAGAAGAAAGATCTAATCGAGATTGAATGTTAGGTTCGCTATAACTACTAATGTGTCAGTTTAAACCATAAATAATTCTCGAGATCTGGTAAGGATAGAATCAATACTTATAAAATTATCAATAATTTTAAAGTCAAGTTATCCCACCTAATATCTGATACCAATAAAATGAGATTTTAGTTCGGCTAAGGTTTTTTTTTTTCTGTTGCTGTGTTCCTTCAAGGCATGGACGATCATGGTTCTCCACAACTTCTAAGTCTTTGTAGTTCTTAGTAACATTTGTCTTTTTGCAATTCCTCTCACACCTGGTTCTGATATCTGTTCACACAAGCTAGTCAAGTAGGTTGGAAATTGATTCTCTTTGATTCCTTTGCCTTCAACGTCTTGTGAATGTCAAATTCTCTGAGCCCTCCTTCCTCATGTGTACTAGAAATTTTTGGTTTCTTTCTGATTCTGAATATAAGTTTTTTTTTTTTTTTTTTTTCCTTAAGACTAAAATTTGTTGCTTATAAAATAAATTACACTTCAGTTCTCAGCATCCTTCTGTAGAACCACATTTCTGTTGCCTCCAGTCTCCTCTTCATCTGTGTGGAAATCGCCCAGCATTCACTACTAAATAGGAGAATTGATATTACGGAACTCTTTTCTTTGTTCCTAACGTAATACATAAAAAATCTAATGTTAACAATGCATGCTGCCATTTCCAAAGCCAGTTCAAGATTGAATATTGTGTTCGCCATTATAAAAGAAAATAACAATACATGCTGTCAGGTTAATGAATAATGTTTGAAATCTGATAGGAATAGATTGGGTACTTTAGTTGTTATAAATATTTAAACGGTAACACTTCATGCTGTCATGTCATTCCAAAGCTAATATCCGTAATAAAAAAAAATTGTAGATTATGTTAGCTCTTCTAAAAATATCGAGTTGATAATAGCACATTCTATCATATTATACCATATGTGCGAAATGTGATAGGATTAGATTGGATAATTTACTTGTTCTACAATAAGGAAACGAAAGCAATGGATGTTATCAAGTCATCCTATAAGTAATATCCGAAAATATGAACTATCAACTTTTGTTGGATTACTTAATGTTCATTAGACATAGATTCGATTTACAATCGAGTAAAAAAAAAGAAACAAATAAACAAAAACGGTGTACACTGATCCGATTTACATAAGCGTCAAAAGGGTAGACACATACCTGGTTTACACTAGAGTCTCAAAAGACAGACATAGGACCGATTTACACAAGAGTAAAAACAAACAAACGAACAAAAAACGGTGTACACTGATCCGGTGTACACAAGCGTCAAAAGCGTAGACACATGCCTGGTTTACACTAGAGCAATGATTCAAATGTGGAGCGCATTCCCCACCCGGGTGGCATGGTAATATTTTGCTGGGGCATGCGTAGGATGTGCACTCTTCTGCTTATTATACCAACAGAATAAGGGGGCAATTCGAGAATGAGTTATTAACAGTGAATTGTTTTCTAGTGAGTCTGAATGAGAGTGTTAATGTTAATGCGTGTTAATACATACAATGCATATGCAGTATGCATACATAAAAATATTTCGTGTGTATGTACGTAGATAAAAAAGTAGAATCAAGTCGGGTTCCTACACCAGTCTCCAAATATTCACCTGGAAGATGGTCTTTTTCGGTGGGATGGGGAGTCTTATCTCTCTGCGGGTGATGCAATTGTTGTATTCTCAGCCTCAGCCACATGGTAATATGGAAGGTAAAGTGCCTTGTTAAAACTGAACTCACAATGGTCTAAGAAAATAAATTGCACGACGATATGCATCTATCTCTATCTGAAGTCGAATATATATATTTGTTCTATCAGGGAAACCGCTTTGTTATACAAAGAGTGATTTATCAGTTCGGCCAGCCTGGCATATAAATATTTAGAAACCCATCAATAATATAAATCACTCATTGGGACTTCTATGAATATATACAGTGTATCACAAAAGTGAGTACACCCCTCACATTTCTTCAAATATTTAAGTATATCTCTTCATGGGACAACACTGACAAAATGACACTTTGACACAATGAAAAGTAGCCTTCTGCAGCATATATAACAGAGTTAATTTATTTTTCCCATCAAAATAACTCAAAATATAGCCATTAAAAGCTAAATCCCTGGCAACAAAAAGTGAGTACACCCCTTAGGAAAAGTTGTCAATATTAACATACAACATGTCAACTGTCAAAATTCAAAATGTAGCCACCATCATTATCCAAAACTGCCTTTACTGACTCATTGGGCATGGGTTTACCAGAACTTCACAGTTAGTCACTGGAATGCTCTTCCACTCCTCAATGACGACGTTGGGGCTGGCGGATATTTGAGACTTTGAGGATCCTCCACCTTCTGCTTGAGGATGGCCCAAAGATGTTCTATTGGGTTCAAGTCTGTAGACACCCTTGGCCAAATCCATCACCTTCCTCAGCCTCTTCAGTAAAGCAGTGGTTGTCTTGGATGTGTTTTGGGGGTCATTGTCATGCTGGAACACTGCTCTGCGATCCAGTTTCTGGAGGGAGGGATCATGCTCTGCTGCAGTATTTCTGCAGTACATGTTGGAGTTCATGTTTCCATCAATGAAATGTAACTCTCCAATACCTGCAGCACTCATGCAGCCCCAGACCATGACATTCCCACCACCATGCTTGACTGTAAGCATGACACACAAAAAGAAACTCCTCACCTGGTCTGAAGCCATACATGTCTTAAGGCCATCAGAACCAAACAAATTAAATTTCGTCTCATCAGACCATAGGACATGGTTCCAGTAATCTATGGGTTTTGTTGACATGTCTTCAGCAAACTGTTTGTGGGCTTTCTTGTGTATTGCCTTCAGAAGAGCCTTACTCCTGGGGTGACATCCATGCACACCAATTTGATGTAGTGTGCGGCGTATGGTCTGAACACTAACAGGCTGAATCCCAATCTCTTTAATCTCTGCAGCAATGCTAACAGCACTCCTATGCCGATCTTTCAAAGAAAGCATTTGGATGTGACGCTCAGCACGTGCGCAAACTTCTTTGGACGACCTACCTGAGGCCTGTTCTGAGTGGACCCTGCTCTTTTAAAATGCTGGATGATCTTAGCCACTGTGCTGCAGCTCAGTTTCAGGGTGAACCCAATAGAACAGCTTTTGGCCATCTTTATGTAGTGCAACAATACGTTTTTAAGATCCTCAGAGTTCTTTGCCATGTGGTGCTATGTTGGAACTTTCAGTGACCGGTGAGAGTGTTAGTGACTGCACTACAAATTTGAATACACCTCCTCCCCATGAACACATGGGCATTTTATAATAATGGTCACATGGAAAAATTTTGGAGGGAAAAATGAAATGCAGTATCAATTTAGACATTTACAACTGTTTTTCTTAGGGGTGTACTCACTTTTGTTTGCCAGGGATTTAGCTTTTAATGGCTATATTTTGAGTTATTTTGAGGGGAAAAAATTAACTCTGTTATATATGCTTGCAGACAGACTACTTTTTCATTGTGTCAAAAGGTAATTTTTTCAGTGCTGTCCCATGAAGAGATATACTTCAATATTTGAAGAAATGTGAGGGGTGTACTCACTTTTGTGATACACTGTATCTGCTAAATTCAGTTTTTATTTGTGAATTTTATAAACAACAGTTATAAAAAAAAATTTTTTATAAAAATGTGTGTGTGTGTGTGTGTGCATGGATGTATATATATATATGTGTATGTGTGCGTGTCTATGTATGTATATATACATGTGGTGTGTATGTATGTGTAACTATATATATATGTGTCTGTCTATGTATGTATATATATGTACGTGTGTGCATGTATATATATATGCGTGTGTGTGTGTCTATGTATGTATGTATATATATATACATATCTGTGTGCATATAAATAATTGCATATGTGTATGTCTATGTACACATATATATGTGTGTGTGTACACACCGAGTTTGATGTGTGTGTGTGTGTATGTATTGGTGTATGTAAATATATGTATATATATGTGTGTGTCTATGTATGTTTATATATATATATATATATGAGTGTGTGTGTGTATGTTTAATTCAGGCATTTTACTTTTCTTTTCGTACTCATATGGCAGTGATAGCTACAAGCCAGGAAGCATGAGCGATGAAGAAAGACGAACAATATA